AAATTTGGTACCCAGCTGCCCTTTGGGATGTTCTCTTCGGCCTATTCGACGCCATCGGCTTCGGTTTGGTCCGCGAGGTCCGGTGTCGTTCGATGCCAGCGGAGATCGCTTGGCCTCGTACCAGCTCTTGAACTACCAGCCCGTGTCGGTGCGCCCATCCGGGGCGGGTTCTTTCCTTCGTTTTTGGGGAATTTAGGGGGGACTTGGGGGGGATGTAGTAGTGGAGGGCCACGCCTAGCAAATAAATTGCTTCATACATACACCCCCCCCTACATACAACTTTTTTCATCTTCCATCTTCTACCCTTATTTGTTTTCATCATTTTTCTACATTCCTTTCTGTCCATCTCATCCGTTTTTTTCTCATCATTTTTCCAAAATGTTCGCCATCCTTTTCTCCTTTCTCCTCGCCTCATTCATTTCACCAACTACCCTTCAAAATGTCATTTCCTCAATCTCCTCACCTCATCCATTTCAAAAAAATAAATTTTGCAAAATATATTGCAAAAAATATTTGTCATCAAAAAAATATTCGAACTGTCTAAAAACGATTTGTCCATTTCCCGGACAAGAAATAGAACAGCAACAACATCACTCTCCTCCTTCGTTTCATCAGTTTCATCATATATATGTTTAGGCGTGGTCGCATAGCTTGCGAGCTTCGCTAACGCTCGCATCCTCCTTGTAGGATTTTATCTTCAATATATAAAACGCTATACTGACATTATAATTATAACATATAAGGGTATAAATGTTATAATCATAGTATGGTTATAATTTAAACACCCACATTTGTTGCACTCAACATCTACATATGTTGTGTTCAACATGTACATGTCCTCAAGAAATCATGGGTTGTTCCATTGCTCAAATGTACACATGTTCAACCCAACATATACATATGTTCAACCCAACATATACATATGTTCAACCCAACATATACATATGTTCAACCCAACATATACATATGTTCAACCCAACATATACATATGTTCAACCCAACATATACATATGTGGAACTCCACATCCACATCATCCACTACATTCACCTTTTGAATGTGGAACCCCACATATGTATATGTACAACCCCACATCCACATATGTAGAGCTCCACATCAGAATATGTAGAGCCCCACATCAGAATATGTAGGGCCCTGTCCTGTTTGACAATTGGTGAGAGTTTCCTGATATATCTATATGAATATTGGTGCTTTTTAAAATTGATAAACTATGGAAGGCTAATGTCTTCATCTAAATCTAATTCGTCCATCTCTTCACACACTTAGAGCTGAAAAAACAGTTTGTGATGCAACAAGAGGAGCCGACACCAAACACGGATGGCGCACACACCAACACACCAAAAACGGATGGCGCACACACCAAAAACGGATGGCGCACACACCAAAATGGTGTGTGCTCATTTTGGCTGGGTTTTCAAGTTTCAAGCCCAACCCCAAACCTAAATCCTTAATCCGTCAAACTCACCAAGATTTCACAGATTAATTCACTAGGTATTTTACATAGGTCTTCTTGCTAAATAATTCTAATAAATTCATATTATTAGAATTACTTAGATTTAATTATTCAAATAATACATATACTCCATCATCATGTTTTGTAATTTTATAAAACTCTAATGTTTGTTGCTTTGGTTGTTTGATTTTTCCTGTATTCAACATATCACAGTATTTCTTTTGCTTTGTAGGGTAATCGCCACTGGGTCTACCTATAGATTTTGCTTGAAATATCTTTTCGATTTTCTCCTTCTCTTCGTTGCTTTGTTGTTCGCGTTCAACTGGTTTCATTTTGTCATCAATGGATTTAATCATATCATTTAAGTTTTTGATATTTTTACCAATTAATGTTATCTTCTTCATTAAATCATTAATAGTATAATTCTCATTTTCAGACATTACTATATATTTATTTAGATAATTATTTATTTAATTATATATTTATAAAGTGCATTTATGTTAAATCTACTCTTTAAATACTAACTTATGTCCCTGTTAAAACTAACATTAATCAAATGTTCGTTAGTTTCAATAACCATATCGCCATCTGTTCTTTTCTGAATATTAAAATCTTTATCTGTTTTTTTATAAGAAAACATACATGGGACACAACTAACTTTAACTCCACCTTTCTTATCTACTGTCAATTCATTTTTAAAATTCATTATGTGATTACATTTATCACATTTTATAGTCTTACTTTCACCCATTGATTTAACACTTTCTGCTGTTTCTTTCCGTGCTTCAATATCTGGTGTTGGTCTTTCTTTGCCTTTACTCTTTTTCTTTTTTCCCATTTATATTAATATTTACATTTTTATTTTTGAGATATTGAATTCCTAACTTAATTATTTCTAATGAATAATAACAACATTTTTTTATTTTATTGTCAGTAATTATTACTTGTTCTATATTCTCCATTTCATCTATTATATTAATATAATCTGTATAACTCCTTTTCATATTAAATAATAAGATAAATTATTTTTTCATTTCTGTCTTTCTTTTCTTGTAAAGTTTTTTCATTGTATCGTCTTTATTCCATCTATATTCTACAAATTTCTGATGATATTTTGAATTTAGATGTTTAAATAAATATTTGTCATCATAAGTTTTACAACAATTGCAATGGATAACAGTCATATAATAATAAGATAAAATAATTATTTAAATTATTTAATCTTATTATTTCATGCATTTTAGAATATTAGGAGGGCTCAGCACTGGGGTTTCACTGCAACACGCAAGCGAGATACAAACTAATTAGATTCAATGCTTATTGATTGAATCAATGTAAAACCTGTTCCATTTTTATGATATTCGCCACCAGCATATCATAAAAACGATGGTCGCGTTAGCACGCGAGGCTCGTTCCTCACGTCCATTTAATATTAATTACAAGTTAATTTTTAAATATAATTTTCTATATATCTTTAATATCAACTATGACAGATGTTCCAATAATAAAACCAATAAACATAACCGAATATGAATTCAAACAATCTAAATATGAGCACGTGCCAAAATTACCATTTAGAAGTATTATAGTTGCTTCTTCGACAGGCGGTAAGACTGTCCTCATTCAAAATCTAATATTGAATGTTTATAGAAATTCATTTGCAAGAATATTTATATTTTCCCCCAGTGTCCATAACGACCCTACATTTACAGAAGTTAAAAAATATATCAGGGATGAATTGCACGTGGATGATGAAAAAGAACAAATTTATTTTGATAATTATAATCCAAGTGATTTAGAAAATGTAATTGAAAGACAGAAGAAAATAATTAATTATATGAAATCTAAAAAGATAAAGAAACTGCATTCAATATTAATTGTGATAGATGACCACGCAGACGACCCTAAATTTGTTAGATATAGTAAATTATTACATGGATTATTTACAAGAGGTAGGCACGATGCAGTAAGTGTAATTTGTTCAACACAAAAATATAATGTTTTAGCGCCTATCATTCGTTTAAATGCCAGTTCATTATATATTTTTAGGTTGAAAAATGCCAGTGAATTAATGAGTTTTATTGAAGAAAATAGCGCCATTGTTGATAAACAGCAATTATTAGATATGTATCATCAAGCAGTGAATTTTGCTCCATATTCTTTTTTCTACGTGAATATGAATTCAAAAGACATTAACAAAATGTTTCATATCAATTTTGAACAGGCATTTCAAATTACAAATGATGAATAAAGATATTCTAACTTAATTTAATATAATAATATGCCAATGAAACTATGTAGATGTGGCGGATTGTATCGTAGAGGTAATTATAATTTTCATACTAATTCTTGGATACATAAACTTTATAAGGCATTGAAGAGGAGGGCAACGGACGAGGAATTATTAAGATTTCAAAATAATTTTGTTGATGAAGACGCTTCGCCAGAGGCTCGCGAGCTTCGCGACGATTTAATAGATGAAACAAATAGCACTGTTTCAACATCAACGCCAAAAAGTGAAAGAAGTTGTATAAGCAATTGATAGCATTAAGCCATTGGCTTAATGTTATTAATTCAAAATAAAGAATAACTACATAAATTTAAGGCAGGTAATTTATAATATATTTTATCTTTTTTACATTCATTAACTTTTTCTAATTTATTTATTATTGCTTTCAATGAATTTATTTGTAGAATATCAATTCTTGACATTTCACTTATCGTATTTACATCTATATCTTTTATTACTTTAATAGCCTCTTCGTCATCAATTTCTACTGGTTTTGATTTACTTGAACCCATTATATATAATATTATTTAGATTTTTAATTTTTCAAAATTGAAATGTTGGTTTTCTTCTTCTTCTTCGTCTTCAGTTGGTGCTGGTATTTCTGTTGGACTTTCGGATGAAGAACTATGGACAGTAATAGGTGGAGAACTATGAACACTAATAGCTTCATTTGATGAATTGCTACTGCTACTTTGTGCATTTCCTGCTGTTATCTGATTAACTAAATCTGCGATATTTATTGTTGTTGCAATTGCGCTGTGTGATAAGTTTAATATGATATCTGCTACTGTAGCGCCGTTGTGTAGCATTATTTCTATCATTTTTGTCAGTTTGAACTTCTTTTCTTCTTCATCGCTGTCATCCTCGTCTGGTGGTTTCTTTGGCGGTGGTTCTGGCGGTTTGTTGTTGTCAAGCATTTTAGTAAAGGCTGACACCATTGCATCGCGTTGGTTTTTCAATGTTTGTGTTGCCCGTGCTCTTGTTGGTTCATTTCTTTTGTATGCGTTGCGCCAAAAGTTTTTAAGCATTATTTTAAACATATTGTCCTGGTTTTCCCTGACCTTAAACGCTTCGAATGTCATATTTACTTGTTGATTTGCATCATTGTATAACTTTTCTTGCGTCTCTCTGGTTGCTGTAGCAATAGTATCTGTGTTGGTTGCAATGTCAATAAATTCTCTCGGCGTGCCCTTTTTCATAAATTTCGGTGGTTGTATTGTTGTTGGTGTGGTTGGTTTCATTAGGTTATGTATTGTAAAACTGTCGTCATCATATTTATCATTGAATTTCTGCTTCTTTCTTTTCAGTATATTTTTCGTTAATATTATCATTATTATTATTTATATTTTTATTTCTTACCTTTGCCCTTAAAACTTGCCTTGAGTT